CTTATTTGGTAGCACATTAACTTCATCTCCCGTATCTACGAGGAAACGTAGGCCGTCCGAACAATCGGTGATGTGGAACAGGCGACTGGTGCGAGGAGGGCCACAGACAGTCGTCGACGTTGCTGACTGGCCGGAGCGTTTAAAGGGGTGTTGGAACCCGGCCTGAAGAAACAAGGTGGTTGACACTTGCGTGCTTTTGGGCCATAAGATTGGTGACACCAGCACCAAGAAAGACGGGCACGAAATAACGATCGTGGACGTGGTCGATGCCTGTTGATCTCTAACCGTTGTAGGCGATCGGTCAAAGCGTCAAATTTGGTTTGTAGGTGCGATATAGAAGCAAGAAGCGGGTCGGAATCTGTAGTGGGTGCAGGGCGGGAGACGGAGTTTACGGAGTTACTGGGGTATGTTTCGTGTATCTTATCCGCCATCCGGGCTAGCTGCTCTAAGCTGTGGTCATCAACGAAAGCGCTGATGACGTGGGACATGGAGGGTGGGAGTTTGTCGAGCCATAGTTGGGCCATGATCTCCTCTGCTAGCTTACGGCCGCAGAGGAGACTGCGCATGTGGCGAAGCATTTGTGATGGCGATCTGTCCCCAAGTTCGACGGTGGTGAATAAATCCCGCAGCATTTTGTTTTCTGATTTCCCTGTCCTACTTATGACGGCCGCTCGAAGGGCGTCATACGGATTTTCCTTAGGAATATCTTCCAACAGATCTTCAACTTCTGTTGCTACATCACAAGGAAGATGCTGGACAACATAGGAAAACCGGGTGACTTGGGAAGCGATGCGTCGGGTGGCAAAAACGGCCTCAACCTGGTGAAACCATACCCTTGGGTTGCGTGGATTATAGTCTGGTAAACGTATACTAATTGCATTCTCGACTAATTCCGCTGAGTCAAAGTGTGCCTCCATGATTACCGGGCAAAAGAAGTAAAATTACGACGATTTGAAAGGAAAAGTTTTCAAAAAAAATATCTAGAAATACTCGGGCTCACCAAATTTGTAGTGGTCTGGCTACCCAATAAGTCAGTTTACCAGGAGTGTGTGGCAAAGTAATAAAAATAATTACGCTAAGTTGGGTATACAAAAATAAATAGGTCAGATGGAACAGACTCACTAACAATTGTTCTCTTTAAAATAGTTCGTCGTTGGCCCAGGTCAGCGAATAAACAATAATCCAATAGTGTTGGTCCAGAGGTCTTCTTCTGAACAGTTTCCACATATAATAGATTCCGAAGATAGTCTGAAATGTTTTGGGTACCAGAGTTAGTATATGAGACTCGCGAATGACCGCTGCAAGCGCGAGCGAAATCAGAAGAGAGAGTCGAAGCACGTGACCACGCTTGTATTATGTGAAATTGTACAAGGGCGCGTTTTTTGTAGTTTCTCGTATTCAAACAAAAAACGATTATGCAATTGATGAAATACCTAGTGTTATAATGGAAGTAAAATAAAGGTACAAAAACGCCACACTACTCCCCCACTAGAGCGTTGACCATGAAATGGGAAAACGCTCGAATAACTAAAGTAACGAATCAAAAGTTGCTAACTTAAGTTTCGTAATCAGCTAAGTGCTGAGGGAAACGGACGCGTCGTCCTGAACGACTAGTGGAAGGAGTGAGGTTGGCGGGAGGGATATCTTGGGTAGGTGTGGGTGTTGTTGGAATAACAGGATTGCTGGATGTGGTCGTAGGTGCTTCAATGTAGGCAGGTTTCAGACGATCAATGGAGACGGTGTCGTGCTTTCCACTTCTCTCTAAAACAAAATATTTGGAGTGACGTTCGATAACTTTGAAGGGGCCATCGTAACAAGGTTGGAGGGGTTTCCTCGTTGCGTCATGTCGGACAAATACAAATGGTGTAGAAGAGAGTTCGGTTGAGATGTGCTCCGTTCGCGTTGATCGTCTGGTAGGTGTCGCACGAAGTTCGGCCATATGTTGTTTCAGAAGGCTGACGAATGTGACGGGTGATTCGGGCTGTGCGCCAGAAGGGGAAACTAGTTCACCGGGTAGACGTAGAGTTGTACCGTATACTAGTTCGGCTGGGGAACAGTGAAGATCCTCCTTAATAGTGGAGCGAATAGCAAGCAAAATGAGGGGTAAAGAAGAGGACCATGAAGATGGGTTCATTTGGACAGTCAATGCCGCTTTGGGGTGGCGATAGTAACGCTCAACCAGATCGTTGGAACGTGGGCGATACCCGGTAGTCGAAATGTGCTGGAAACCGAGTAGTGTGGAAAACTCACGGAGGAGATTACACTGAAATTGTGAACCGCGATCCGTAGTAACGGTGGAAGGTATACCAAAATTACCCACCGAGTGCTGCAAAAATGAAAGGGCAACCGTTTCAGATGAAGTATCCGGACTGGGTACAGCTACTGGTCAACGGGTAAAACGATCGAGCATGGTAAGAATATGCGTGAAACCATTTGATGGGGAAAGTGGGCCAAGAATGTCGAGATGGACGTGTGTGATTCGAGCATCAGGAACGGCAAATAAACCGATAGGTGAGTTTGTATGCCGAGTTACTTTACTGCGTTGACAGGCGATGCACTGTTTGTCCCAAAATGTCAGGCCCTTATTCATGAAGGGCCATACTTGCACTGCACTAATCAACTTTCTGTTTGCTCTGATTCTTGGATGAGAAAATCCATGAAATTGGTCAAAATCATCCCGTCAACGTTACTGCTCACCATGAGAAAATCCATGAAATTGGTCAAAATCATCCCGTCAACGTTAGAAAACTGCTCACCATCAATTCTTACATGTTATAACTCGCCCTCGGGATAAGACGTATCCAGTCATTCAAAACGTGATAACAGCGGTTTGAATCAGGGTTTTCTAAAGTTGTGACTGGTAGTCTGTATTTGATTCTCCCGTATTCGATCATGCAAGCACGAGCATTAATGTAGCGGTATTATTTAAGCCGCTCAGAAACGTTGTTTCAAAATAGTCGGAGGTTAACTGGAATTCATAAGCCCCACGAGGACTAGAGTTTTGATGATTATACGGTGCTGGCGTTAATTCTGAAGTGTTCAGAATGACACTGGCATACTGTCAACCATATAATTCGTGAGAACCTCTGGATTTATGGGAGCTGGATACGGTGTTGCGGTCGAAGCTAGGAACCGAGCACACATAAAGTGTAATGTTGCGCACAAGCTGTGTCTGAAAGATAAGTTTCTGCAAATCATTGGTGTAAAAATAGCCAAGATTGATGATGGGCACAAAAGGCGGCATTTGCGTTTTCCAGCTACTTAATACACTAACATCGGCTAAGCAAAGTGGAAAATGCTGCACTCACCGCTGTGACGGCATCCTCGAAGGATCTCAAGTAATATTCGGAAAACTTCCGTTGCGACGTTTGCTCCAACCCTGCATGAAACCGACGGCAGTTTCATCAAGTTTTGCATCAAAATTCGGAAACCAGAATTATACAACTGCTTTGTGGGGAGACATTATATCTAGGACTTTTAAACTAAGTGCTGCACACAGGGCCATCATTCAACTTGTTGCTCTGTTGAAGAGTCCCAAAGGTAACCGATTCAACGTACGGCAGTAACTGTGGCCTTCCAGAGAGGAGAAATTTTATGACACATTTGTTACTACACGCAGGCGGACTGGAATCCAGGCCAGGGAATGCCTATCGGTGCCTTTCACCCATCGACTGGGAGAATGGCGCTGAGCAGAGTTACAGCTGAAACGTGAAAATAACAAAGAGGGGCGATGGTCTGGCAACGAACTCTAGCTAACCACCCGTAAATCTGAAAAGCTAAATAAACGGCTCTGTCAAAAGTGTATTTCCTCCGCACATCTGGATTTCAGTGACCGCTGCTCCACAACGACCGACATGATGCTTTCAAATACGAGAAGCACCAGTGACAACGTTCAGTTGAATTTTGTCAGACTTGAATCGCAGTTGAAACAGTTTCCAATTTTCTGTAATTGCTGAAACTATTCGTAGCTTCGATGATGAGCCAAACGTTTTAACCAGCAAGTTGTGAACTTGCTCGCAGCGTGTTTCGGCATTATGGAAATTCGGGGGTGGGTGGTGGCACATGAAGCAAGGTTAACCAGGGGAGTCTCTGATCCGTCAAGGAGTATGTAACACTGTAGTTAGAGAAGTGAATGGAGGGAAAGCAATCCTATACCTAGGGTAGGAGGTGGAGTATGAGGCTGAATACGGAGTTGCGAATGTCCCTGGTAGGAGGACATACAGCTAAAGGAGCGAATGTCAGCCGCGTAATCTTTAGTATTATCGAGTTCAGGGAATGTGGGGAAAAGGTCAGGGTACGGGAAGATTTGTATGCGGTTAGGGATGAGTAGCGGAGGGAAAAGCTAACCAGGTGGAACGATTGTACATGGGCGGCCAAGATATGTTTAGAGAATGGGTGATGAGAAGCTAGGGTCAATCAATCGGTTAAAGGACAAAGGCGGAACTGTTGGTATGACGCTTGGTTACGCACCTAGGATATTTGTTTTGTAGCGGTGTCTTGCGCCTTCGAAGCACTTTCATATGCATTGAAGGAGAAAAACGAGGGGGAACTAACCTATGCACAAAATTTCTCACCACCCTAGCAGACAAACTACGCGGTGCAATGACAGCCATTAGAAGTATCAATCCTGTGCCCATAGTTGACCTTGACTAAGTTTAAACAGCGTTGCAATTTTATGGAGAGATTTTGATGTTTCTAACAAATACCATAAAATTCTTGAACACTATGCAAAAGTCACCGTTTTTGAAAACTTTGTTCCAGAGAAATCCGGGGTATGCGGCCAGGGATCGTCATTTCAGGTTTTGCACGAAGCCGCGTTTGCAGTTTTGCAAGCTTCGACTATCCTAAGATTAGCAGCCATCGTTGAACATCCGCGAGGTGATGGATTACCACGTACAGTTTGGAGACCGGGCATCTAGACGGTAGCGACGGACGTGGTGGCTAGCAGCCCTAGGGAGTATCGAAGGGACAGAACAAGCTAATAATGTCTGTCAGGTATAATGTCACAAGGGGAACTATCCGAGGAAACCTTGGCTCACAGCTCACAAGAGGAAATTCCGTTGGTCCGTATTCCCTTGGACCATCACACCAATAGAAGGTTCCACTTTCCAGGTGTTCCAGACCTCCGGTAATCACTTCATCAGTCCAAAAAGACAAACCAAATTTGCTGCTCCCAGGAGTGGACACATACAACACATATAAACATACATTCAGACTCCCGACTCTCCACTATCAACATCCGAGGATAGCATCGAAAATCTTCTTCGTCACGCACCACTCACTGATTAAAGCTGATAGTAGTGCTTCGGGGACTGGTGACCTTCCCCCTCGCATCCACCTTCCTTCCTAGGTTGTCCTAGTATCGTCCTTCTCACTAACAACCCCCAGGAATTTACCCCCCCCAGTCGTTACGAGTTTGGTTTACCCTCACCACACCGTCTCTTAGCCCACATGCATTAAACTGTCCTGTCTCAGGTAGTATAGTTATATTGGCAATCTTAGCTTGACTCTGATGACTACACTAGTGAGTACAGATTCATCCTTATCCTGTCTTGTTTAATCACCTGAGGTCCTTCCATAACTGTGGTAGACGTTCATTTTTTCCCTATTAAAGGACTATATCCTGTCTGATAACCCCTATAACTCTC